ATCGGCTTGACCCTGTTTGTCCAGCTGGACCTGCAAGCCCTGCAACTCAGTTTGGATCTTCTCCACATGGTGGAGTTTTAGGGCAAGTTGGTCCGGGTCTAGCGCTTTCCGATCTCCCTCCCTGTAGGCTCGGAGATCGTTGCACGCTTTAGTAGCCTTTGTGCGCAGACGCGACCTAGCAGCCAGTAGCTCCTCCATGTTTGAGTGAAATGGGAACTAAATCAAAGTACAAAGTGGACTGTATGTTCAAAAACAAACTATCAATTTACCCAGTGGACTTAACAAAATTTAACAAAATTTAATACCGGTAGCCTTGGGGACTGTGTCCTCCACTGAATAAATGATCCGGCCCGGAGGACTATGTTGCGATTCCAAGTCGAATGTGTAGCGAATGAAACCCAAAAAAAGTTATAAATACACCAAGCGGATGTATTTTAATCAAAGTCCGGGCAAACCCAGCTCTAAACACCGGAGAAAACAGTGACCCTGCCGTCCGCGCTTCAGGGGTCGCCAATCGCACTAAACAGATGCGGCCACAGTGCCGACTCGATCCTTAAATGGGTACAAGTAAATACTCGAGATAGGCTCGAGCGCTACCCCGCAATTACCAACCCTTTAATAGGCTCACAGCCGTATAATTATGAGCGCCCGTACTTGGCACGCTAAATGGTTAATTTCAATACAGCACCATTAATAGCAGCAGACGATCAGCCCACAGACGTTCACGTTTTAACTGCCGCATTAATGGCGCTGTGTTTTGGTGGTCGGGACAAAATGGGTGTGGGGTGGAGGCTAGCCGACAGACGTAGTCTCCAATTTAGATTCTCGAATGCATATGCGCCGCGGGGAACGCCGACAGACTGCCCACAGACGAGCCTGCCAACGCCCCGCAAACGGATATAGATTCGAGAGCCCAACACACCCAGCCGCAGCAAGGACTGTTGCGCGACTGCCCTCCGCCGGCACGACACGACCCGACATCGCCTCACCACACGTGGTCAGCCGCCGACCAATCAGCACACGCAGGGCCGCGGCAATCGGCGGCGCCCTGACAAGTTAGGCTGTACCGCAATGCGGCGGCCCGCCGCGGCGGCCGGGCGGCGCGCAGGAGCGATAACCGGGGCCCAGCCGTTAACACAAGTTACAAACCAAAAGCAAACTAAGATACACTTTAAAGTTACATGAAAAATATTAATTCATTATGCAAACTTAACACACGCCGAGATTCAGCCAATCAGCGAGCAGAATGGCAAACTCATCCATGGATTGGTAACTACCCCTCCATGGATTGATTGGCCTTACCCCTCGTACCTACTCACAAAGGTACTAAATCTGAGGGGCGAAGTCGCCACTACAAAATCGTTCGATATTTTTTGTGATTTTTGCTCGGGCATTTTTGCTCACCGCTCGATTCCACACCAACCTGAGCAAAAATGACAAAATATATATAACGGTGTGCATTTTATAGCGATTTTACTAAACCACTACACACTGTCTCAAATACCACTGTCTCTAAGCGTCCCACCTTCGGTACATTTTGTAATACCTAAGGCACATCCCAGATGCTCACATCAATACGCGCTGTTATACACATTGTGAAAAACAGTGAACGTATATTAATAACATAAAAGACATGTGACACTCAGCTTCGACACTTTCGAGTATATCGTTCAACGCACTGCACGCCTCCTTATTTTGTATTTGTGCGTGCTGAACACATGAAACGATCATGCATAGACCTTTGTCCGTAAGGGTCTGTGGGCGTATCGAGAAATATGCTCCAAAGATCATGAGTACGCGTTGCAAAGGCAGTCTGCTGAAAACGGGAACGCGTTCTAAAAGCCGTAGCTGGAAAGGGGCAGCATATAACGATCACGAGTACGCACTCAAAAAGCATTGTCATTATGTAGGTAACCGTAGCTGACAACAGGCAACGCAGCTAACAACGCAAGAACCTGAAAAGTAAAGTGGAACCTTCTTAAAGTGATGCACCCTACTAACTTACATATCTACATATCTACAACTTACACTACAACTTACATATCTAACGAGCAAGAACTTGACGTCCTTTCTACTCGATCACCCCCTTTAGCTTCATGCAGTGTCCTGAAATTGATTTTTCGGAGAGTGTGATTGAAGCCGCGAGGACGTCGCTATTTCAAAAGGACGTCGATATCGGTGCGGAGCCTAAGCCACTGAAGCCCTTACCTAAATCTCTTAAAATTAGCGATTTTCACTGGCAATATTGACTAATACCACCTCAAGGCACCTCAAATGATCATATATAGACACAAAGTAATGCCAGTTTACCCCTAGTAAAATACAAAATTCAAGCATTCACCACAAACACCAAAACAACACTTTGAAGATGTCTAGTTCTTGTCCATGGTCGTATATAACAGTCAACAACAAATATGCTTCAACAAAAATCAGCCCAAGAGCCAGCGGCTATCACTAAATGTTGACGTCATAAGAGGGATATCATATCGAGCAAGAGGACTGATGTAAAAAACAGACGTCCAAACAAAGAGGTGGAAAACAGCTCGGAAAATTAATTTCCATAGCTTCCTGTTATGAAATTCAATTAAGAAAACTCCAAGGTGGACGCTGAATTTTTCTTGGCTGGAAAAAATGTGAAATCATTTTGCACTTTTCAGTTTTGTACCGACGTCGATTAAATGGGAATAACAAGGTCAATCGACGTCCCCAACATTGCGTGTATTTTTAAGCCAAGGACGACATACTTGAATTAATACTGTTGAAATTCGGTGGCTTTATTTTAATTCAAACAGATAAACATTAAACTTTTTCCCCAACCACTATCAACATATGCAAAATTAACTACTTTTGAAGGGCATGTTCAAGGGGCAGCGCTAACCCGTTACTGTGACCTTCTGAGGGGAAAAAATAATTAAATATGTTACAGTAATTTGATACAAAAGGTATGTTGCGTGCTTATAGATAAATGTCCAAGTAATATATTCGCATGATTAATTTTTATCTATACACTGCACAGTTACTAAAACTAAAAGTGGAAAACGACGTCCTCAGATCCCTCTATTCCGACATCTTTTCTCCTTCATATGGCAGCATTACCTTCACATGGTAAAGGAAAAAACTTATCCATATCTGACGCACAGAAAACAAAAATAAAATAAAACCGCGTTGTTTACATACTGTTGCGGCAGTTGGCCAGGAAAGGGGAGTTGAGTGTAAGAGTGAGTTTTTGAGGACTTAGGATATATTTATTGTCATTTTGCATAGCCGTGTTTTTAGGCTACAGAGGTGATATTTCTTTTTGTTAGTTTGCTTTTGGTGTTCGATATACTTATCGACTTTTATCTGTCAGGGACGTCGTTTGGCTTTCCGGGACGTCACAAAGAGAATCTGTTAGGTGTGGGTTTCCACCCAAATTCACGAAAATCAGGACACTGGCTTCATGACTCGTCCATAGACCCGGCTCGCCATGACCCCGCCTGCTTTTTCCAGCTCATGCGAAGCGAGGAAAGGAAAGCGTTTTTTTTTTGCAGTTTTCTCCGGGGTCTTCTGATTAAAGACCGGAAATGAGACCGCCGATAGAAGCAGCAGGTCTGCCTTGGTGCCACTCATGTTGCACACAACCCACTGTTCTTCCACTATCAGGCTGTACTGGCCTTCGTTCTCCTCGATGCGAGGAGACGTACCTGCCTGCTCGCCAAATATCTCATCAGGGTTTGTGAGGACGTACTCCAGCAGAACGTCCACCTTTCCGTCGTCGGGAAATAAGAATAATTAATTAAATTCTAATTGACAAAATCGGAACACTTCTTTTACCCGCGTCGGACCGGTGCTCGACGCCAACCGCGCCGGAACGGGGAGAAGGGGTGTTTACTGTTTGAACACTCCCGTCTAACTCGGCTCTTGGACCATGTAGCGACGCGCGATAAGCGGTATTCGAAAGAGCGTAAAAATGTGAAGGAAGTATTTGGGTCATTTTCTAGGTCAGGTCAAAGGTTAGGTCACCAGAGGTCATCAGAGTCAAATTTAACTGTTTCAACATTTTCCTGTATGTTTGATGCAGTGTTGCAATGCAAGCCAGCCATCCAAGAAACTGTGCACGAGACGTTTTCTTGGATGGTTTTCTTGTATAGCTCGATTTCATCTGGAGGATTCACCGTCCATCACGACGGTGGTGAACTACACCACATTTCCGTAGTCATCACGGGGCCGCTGCTTCTTCAGCAACGCGCGTCCTCTTGCAGCTGCAGCGGCCATCCCAAACGCAGGCAAAACCACAACTAGCGTAATGCATATCGCATCTCCTGGCATATAGGGCCTTGCTCTTGGCACTGAGAACAGGAACTGCAACAGTAACTGTGGATTATCGTTCCTGTCTTTGGCTGATAAGAAGACTAGAGCTATCGTTGAGAAGACATAGTGTAATTCCCAGACTAACAATAAACAGCCATAATTACATTGCATAACAAAATAAAAGGCATTATGAAGAACACCTATTTTCCCTTACCATATTGGAGCGAAGCCACGAGCCAACAGGAAAAAAACGGAACCAGTCGGCACCGGCTCGCTCGTTATCCACATCAAAGCTGTGCTTGAGCTGATTCCTTTCTGTCAGCTGGAAGGCCAGCTTCTTGAGGTCGTCGGTTGTCAGGCCGGCGGCCATTTGCATTTAGGCACAGAGCCATAGATATAAAGACTAGATAGGACAGGCCTGTGTAAAACCCGCTCGCTAGATACGTAAAGCGGCCGGGCGGCCAACCACAGTCGACATCATAGACTCGCTCGTGCCCTCCCGTGTTAAAAAGTGCATTTTGGGGGGGGGGCTCGCACGAACTTTTGAATGCGAGTCAAATGTCGCAAAGCATCTTAAATGAATGTTTAGGCCTTTCTCCTAATGAGAACCAAGGTTTTTAGTAGCTGACGTGCCTCTGATGGTCTACAGGACCCCTCCTATGAGGACAGTTCAGTTCTGCAGTTCTTCGATGAAAGCCCACTTCACCTGCTGTCCGTCAGCGCTGACAATCATGCCGTACGCTTTCAACATGCTTCTCAGCAGCTTCTGCATGTGACATGCGTCGAAGATGATTGCCATTTCCCGCTGGCTTGCTGGCTCCAGGAAGGATGTCTGTTCTGAGGCGATGTCACACCCCAACACTGCGCACATCCGGTAGTTTGATGTGTGGCCGTCCATCGTCAGGGCGCGAACCACTCTCCAGGCTTCGTGCAGCCTGGAGAGCGTCAGCAGCACGAGCTGGGACTGGGCGGTTGCTGTGAGGCCGTGGTTCAGGAAGTAGGCGACCAGAGCCTTCCAGTGGCCTGAGGTTCCGACGACCATGAACACAAGCGCGTCTTTGGCCGCCTGGCTGCACCCTGCTGGCCGTCGCCGAGGTTCACGAAGTCCACCATGTCATCCTTGGCGCTGTCGTAGGTGATGTGTTGCCTTATCGACATGCCGTCCAACATCAGCGTGCAGTTACGGTAGGTCTCATCTTCTTCTGCCTTCACCTTCAGCTGCTCGATCATGACCGAGCTGATGCCGGGTGACGCGTTCAGCTTCTCCAGCCACCTATCAACGACACGGATAAAACAATTAAGCGCATACTCTCAACTGCAATAGAGGCAGGAGAACACTAAATAGTAAAGATAGGGCGGTTATTGGAGAGGCAGGGTCAATTATGCTTCTTATTAAGGACAGACAAGCACGAAGCAGCAAATGTTAATTTAGGATTACAACGTTCATTATCGATTCCTTCAGGTTCATATGCCAACTGAAAAAAATGAATATAGTTCGTTTTTTTTCAAAAGGACGCTGGCTCCAAGTATGTTTTTCGAACAAGCACGTGTTTTAGCCGCCAAAACGAGCAAAAACTGAACCTGAGAAAATCGAACGTCGACTAATTTTAACATGTTATTTCTTCCCGATGATTTCCATATGTGCGTTTTGGAACCAGATATGGGGACAGTGGTGACGTCATGCTGTCGAACACGTATTGCAATGTAACGTATAAAGCCCGGTTCTCACTGCCGAAACCGATCGGAGCGGATGGTAAGCGGATGGTGATCGTATGGTAATGGTATGGTGAGCGTGGCTAGAGAAAAAAGATAAAAATCTCTAGGCCCGATACGATCCTGGGGCCGCTGCTCCCATCGTACGCCGCGCATGCGCAGAGGCGTTGTTTATTCTATTCGTTGCCAATCATGGCGCAGTGCGATGACCTTGGAAACCACAACAATAACAGACGTTTTGTGCTTTGATATTGTATTTTGTGGGTTCAATAAATAAATTTAGGTCAAAATAGGGTATGGCGGACGAAGACATGTTCCTTTTTTTAGCGCTAGCTTCAGGCAGCGAAGTTCCTCAACAAAAAAAGAAAATATGGGTCAGGGAAACATTAAAACACAGGGATATAAGGGGAGAGTACGCTACACTTTTACGAGAAGCACGAAACCACCCAGAAGAATTTTATAGGGCCTATAGAATGATGCCTGAGAGATTTGATGAGCTGCTGGACTTTGTGGCACCCCGCCTGAAGAAGGAGGATACCAACTTCAGAGCTGCAATCCCTGAAGCGGAGCGCCTGGCAATGACGTTGAGGTGAGTTTTTACCTGTTTCTGATGTTATCTGTTTCTGTCAAGACGGGTCCGCAGGGCTGTCAGCGCCATGTAGCTGGTCGGCGCGGCCGTGATGGCGTCACGGACCTGCCGGGCGACGTCTGTCAGTGTCGGCAGGTTCGCGACCAATAAATAGGTCGAACTTGACAGCGTCTTCCGTGATGCCATTGCCGGCCACCCGGCAGCCGCACTCCACCTCACTCCACCTGGGCCGACCTGGGCCAGCCAAAGGGCGGCATAGATGGCGAGCTTGTAGTTGACAGATGAGGTGGCGCTCACTAGATGGCGCCACCGCGCCACCCGCTTTCGGTAGGTACGGCAATGGACGCCGCCGCGTCGGCACGCGGTAGCCGGGCGTGCTGAGGCGTCGGCGATCGTCCGCAGCGCGAGTGCTGGACGAGGAGTCAATGGCGTGACCCAAACACGCTCAAAAGATGTCAGATTACATTCACTTGCGTCCAGCCGTGATGACTCCTGCTTGTGCTCAAAACGCTCCAGCGGGAGAGGAGGTAGCCGCGCCATAATACCGAAAGCTCGTAGGTAAAAGGATATGGTTCACGAGGAGTCACCAATATGTTGTGCAGTAGAAATCAAGGTAAATAAGTAAACTGGCGTTACATAGGGATTACTTACACAACGAAATAACAAGTAAAATCAGAAGCGCGCAGGAAAGCCGCGCGTGCCGCCCGGCCCTGGCCGAAAGAGACGCGGGAGGCCTTGCGCGGGTAAACAATCAGCCGGCCGCGGCGGCCGGAGCGCCCGGGGGAATGCACCACTAAATGATTCGCTACAAAGTCTGTTTTAATTTTTCATTAGATTCTTATACTGAACTGTTTCATTCTATGGTGATTGGTGAAGTGTTGTGCAGATTGCAGTATTTTGGGGGATCCAGCCCGGTTTGGGAGGGCAATCAATGACATAACCAGTACCATAAGTTCAGTGTAGTAGGCAGAATCCGGAACAGGGGGTCCGAAAGTGGATGCGGTCAAGAATTCGAAGTAAAAGTTCGGTACCCTCAGGTTAGGTATTTAAGGTATATACATATCAAGGAGTGCGTAAACCAAAAATGAGCCAGATCGGACTTCTCAGCCGGTGGTGAGAACTCAGAGCCTAAATTGAGAACAAACAAAAATGCCGATAATTTTTACTTTGACCTGACCTGTGACGTCATCGGTGACCTCTAGGTCAATGAAATTAGGTTCGTTCAACAGTTTTCCCAGGGTTATATCAGAGATCGTTTGAATTTTGACGATCAGCCCAGTAGTTAGGGGGGGGGCTCTGGAAAGCCCCCCTCCCCCCTCCCAGTCACTCGCGTTATGGAAAATACCCCAGGGATGCGCGGGTTAATGGTTGCAAATTCAGTGTATTGTCAAGATGTGCTGAGTTTTGTCTGCTGATAGGAATATTAACTTACGTGTTTTCCTGTCTGGCTTTATAGGTACCTGGCCTCTGGCATGAGCCAGCAGGACACCGCCCGGTACTTCAGAATGGGGAAGTCGACGGTCTCCAGCATCATCCCTGAGGTGTGCAACGTCCTGTGGGAAGAGCTGGTTCCCACAGAAATGTCTGCACCTACCACCCAAAGGTGGCTCGACATCGCTGAGGAGTTCGAAGACAGATGGAATTTTCCACACTGCCTTGGTATGAACCTTACCATTTTGACTATTGTGTTGCCGTTAATGACAAATAATGATCTTTTTCCACTAAATCTGAGTTCAGGTCATATTCCGAGGGGAAAAGCGGGGAAATACGGGGAACGAGGAAAGCGGCGTTCGAAACAGCGTCAAAAACAATGACGAAATCACTTCAGTCCCTTTTTTCGTCAGGTCAAAGGTCGGGTCATCAGAGGTCATTGAAGGCCAAATTTCGCCGATTTTGAGATCGAATATCGACAATTTTCAAGAAGCCGACGCATAACTCGGGAACCAATAGAGTTACAGCGCCGCGGAAAAGCGCATTCGATAGCCTCATTAACGCTCTTTCTGAGTAATTCCCTCAGATTTGACCTGAAGTCAACGGTTTTGCCTGCAGGGGGCAACAACTGTCAAAATAAACGATTTTTTTCGGAAACGGTTTATCTGCAATAACTTTTGACTCAAGCCTTGCACGAGCTTTCTGTTACCGGCATTGTGTTCCTCTCGTCACGACACATCGAATTAACTATAACTTGACCTTGAAAAGTCAACTTGAAATTTTGACCTCAGGTCAAGGTCATGACCTGACCGGAAAGGGTCATGCTACATATCAGTCGATACGTATCGTCGAGTTGAACACATCTATGGCGTTTTCATCGCTTGAATGTCTCTATCAAAAGTTATTCGCGAAAAACTTTGAGATACAATTCGTGACCTGAGATGACCTCAGGGGCATAGAGGGGTCACGGGTGCCATTGTTATGTTCAGTATGTCGAAGTTACTTATTATTAAGTGTTTGAGGGTGTTAAGTATGGTTTTCGTCGAAAAGAGGCGGTTTCGAATTTTCTCCCATTGACTTGTAATGGGGAGGTCGGAAAATTGACCTGACCTTAGGTGACTGATATGACAATTCTAAGAGATACATTTTGTATACACTGCTGCTCTTGTCAATCGCTGAAAGTTTCAAAGCGACCGGTCACTCGGTGTAGCTATGGCATACATTGAAACATCTTATGAGTGAGGCCACTTGAGGTGACCTGGTGACCTGACCTTGAATGACCTTGGTCTAAAATTGTCACAACATGTGTAAAATTGATGCATGATAAGGTGTGCAAGGTGCTCAGTGTCGCCGTTTTTTTTTTAGATATTCGTAAAAAAACTAGTGGGTGTTGAAACCATACCTGCGCCCCCCCCCCCCCCTCCAGCAGGGCGCAGGTTAATGAAATAAAAATTAGGTTAGCGGCGGGATTTGCGATTTTTAGACCTTTGAGTGAATCGTTGATCATGAGCAACTTCATTATTTTATACACTTTCTACAATTCAGACATACCTACGCTTAGCAACGAAAGTCACCATGGTTTACGACGCATAAAATGTTGATCTGGTTCTGTTGGCAGGTGCTATCGATGGAAAACATGTCCGGATTCAGTGTCCCCGTCTGTCCGGCTCAGCCTTCTTTAACTACAAGGCTACATTCAGCAGTGTGCTGATGGCTGTCGCCGATGCGGACTACGCATTTACGTACGTGGACGTTGGGGCGTACGGACGCGAAAATGACGCCAACATTTTCGCCAACTCCACGTTCGGCCAACGCCTGCAACAGGACACCCTGAACCTGCCCAGTGCCGATCCCGGAGAGCTAGAGTATGTCTTCATTGGGGACGAGGCGTTCCAGCTGAGGCAGCGGATCATGCGTCCCTACCCAGGATCGAGGCTGGGGGGTGTAGCAGAAGAGGACTACCACCAGCGGCTCGTTTACAACTACCGGTTGAGTAGGGCGCGGCGAGTGGTCGAGAATGCGTTCGGCATTTTAGTGACAAGATGGCGCTCACTCAGGCAGCCAATAGTGGCGAAGATAGAAACTGTGGACGCCATAGTAAAGGCCACTTGTGTTCTCCACAACTTCTTGCGTCGCCGCGATGGTGTCTCCAACGACAGGCGCTACATCTCCCAGGGCGACGTCGACGCGGACGATGGTGGGCGGGTGATGCAGGGCGCCTGGCGCCGGGAGCTCGCAGGCGGTGGTCTAGCCGACATCGGTCGGATGGGGGCCAACAACCCAGCAAGGGGCGCAGCGGACCTTCGCGAGCGGTTTGCACGATACTTCGTGTCGCCAGAGGGAAGCGTGCCCTGGCAGGATGCCATTGTGCGCCGAGGCCGACTGCAGTAGGCCAGAGTCTGCCTGCGGGGGCTGTCGCTGAGAGCGCTCTGCCGCCCGACTCGTCGGTGCTTCCGTGTCATGTGTCAGTTTGTGCGCGTTAATGAATGTTATGTGGCCTTCGATAAGTGTCACCGTGTCATTGTTAATTTTCAGCTCGTGTCCCGCACATTGCAATGCGTGTATATATTGTGTCCCTCTGCATGCCGCCCGTTGGTGCCTCCATCGAGTGCCGGTTCGCTCGACGCCCGTCGGTGCTGCTTCGGATTGTTCGCCCGGTGCCCGCTCGTAGCACCGTGCGTCCGCAATGGACAGATTTTAGGTGCTTTTAGGTGCCTCGATTTATTTGCTGCCGAGTGTATGCAAATACATGTGTTGGCCTGAGAACGAAGGTTTTATTTAATTTAAACAATCAGTCATTCACAACTGAGGCATTGTGTGAAGACCAACGCCAGTACACATCTTCCGGCCTCGCTATATAACCCAGCGGTGGCGCGCCCGTTACGGCAGCTTAGCACTGCCTGAAAGACACAAACTGAAAACTAACAATAACACACTGACACATGACACATGACTGAGTCCCGATGCGCCACCGGCGGCACACTTCGACGCATTGATATGTGCAAGACACGTAATTTGAAAACTAACAATAACACGGTGACACTTATTGAAGGCCACATGACATTCGTGAACGCGCGCACACTGACACAGGACTGAGTCCCGATGCGCCACCGGCGGCACACTTCGACGCATTGATATGTGCAAGACACGTAATTTGAAAACTAACAATAACACGGTGACACTTATTGAAGGCCACATGACATTCATGAACGCGCGCAAATAGCCACAGGATTATTTGACTTTGAAGATATAGAAAAACTTAACCCGCGCACCGACGGGGGTCTGCGCCAACTTCGCACCGACGGGGGGGGGGGGCGGATGACCGCCCCCCCCCCTGAGATCTCGAGAACGAAGCAAGATAGCGACAAGCGGTGAACGGCATCGGATACGCACGGTCAAGATCTACAATTTTTACTAAGGTCATTTTCAGGTCAGGTCAAAGATGACGTCACAGGGGTCGAAAAAGTCAAAATGGCGGCGCTAGATATTGAGAGTTTTTCTCGAATAACTTTCGAATTAGTCAAGATAGAAACAAACTAAGGGCATCATCGTGATCCTCTCGTCAATCCGCATCGAATGATATATATGTTGACCTCGAAAGGTCAAGGTCAAAGGTTGACCTCAGGTCACGTGACCTCGAGGTCACCATGTATATTGTATATCATTCGATGCGTCTTGACGAGCTGAACACAATGAGACCATCCACGCGGCTGTATCTTGTTCCTGTACGGAGTTATTGGCCAAAAACCTTTGGTGACCTTTGATGACGTCACATGACCTCACAGCTGCCCAACAGCAAAACAGACCTCAAGGTAGTGAAGGTTGATCGTATATAAAGTCATGTATGGTATATGGGGCCATTCCGACCCGTTTTAGTGGTAAAAATAGGGAGTTGATTTTTCCCCCATTGACTTATAATGGGGAAGTCGCGAAATTGACCTGACCTTAGGTCACCGATATCAAAATTCCGAGATATACAAATTGTAGCTACTAATGATCTTATAACATCCTGCGACTTTCAAAGGTCTCCGACATCTACTGTAGCTCTGGCACGGTGACAAAGTTGCAAAAAAGTGACTTGAGGTTGGGTCATTCAAAGTGACCTGGTGACCTGACATTAAAAGTTACGAGGTTTGAACTTGCACACCATGTGTAAAATTGATGAGGGAATAGTCATACCAAATTTCGCGGCGCTACTTCCCGCTATTCGCGAAAAACCTCAGGGGGGGGCGGATATCCGCCCCCCCCCCGTCGGTGCGCGGGTTAAAATATGTGATAACATGGCAAAACATGTGATATGGTCATGCGACTAGCCAGTCGCATGCTCATTTCACATGAAGGTTCGCACGACACGCACGAGCTCCACCTCCATGTCAATGGTCCGTTCCTCCGGCACCATGCGCATTAAGTGCGTTAGGTAGTCCCCAAAGGCACTTACCCGGTCATTCGGCCTTCTAGACTTCTCCCATGTGGACAGGAATTGCTCCTGCCAAGTTGCGCCCTGCCCCTGCCTTTCATCCTGGTGGCGGCGACGCTGGCGGACCGAAGTGGGTGGGCGTCCGGTGCCACCACGTCCGCGCTGCTGCCCAGCTCGCCCGGCAGGGCTGCGACGCTGCCGCGTCGGCTCGGCTGGGCTGACGCTGCGCTGCCGCGGCTCGGCTGGGCTGACGCTGCGCTGCCGCGGCTCGGCTGGGCTGCGACGCTGCCGCGTCGGCTCGGCTGGGCTGACGCTGCGCTGCCGCGGCTCGGCTGGGCTGACGCTGCGCTGCCGCGGCTCGGCTGGGCTGACGCTGCGCTGCCGCGGCTCGGCTGGGCTGACGCTGCGCTGCCGCGTCGGCTCGGCTGGGCTGACGCTGCGCTGCCGCGGCTCGGCTGGGCTGACGCTGCGCTGCCGCGTCGGCTCGGCTGGGCTCGCCTGGCCCAATGGGCTGCGGCTGCGAGTGCGGCTCCGTCGGTGTGAGCGCTCCGGCTCTGTGGCTCGGGGCCGCCCGGCTGATGGTCCGCCCTGGTCGTTCGCGCCAGGCGTAGCGGCGGACTCGGAGAGGATCCGTCCATCCTCCAGCATGATGATGACGGAGGCCGGCACGTCCTGACTTCTGAAAAAAGGATAGATGAACTGAAGCCAGTGAAGGGTCATCTGAACGCATGGAAGGGCTCTGATGGCTGATCGTTTGGCGTGGCTCTCGAAGATGACTAGACCCAGGCTCTAGGGATAACTAACTCCAAGATAACTAGCTCCAAGCTATATCCCTCCATCCCCATCCCCCTCGTCATGTATCCGCCCATAATGACGGCTGCATTCAGCTAGAAAATCTGTAGGCAGGCGAGGGGTTTCGCCTGTACGTACCTTACAAAGCCATCCTCCTGTCGGTAGACAGCTGGTTGGCTGCCGTGTGAGGCGCTTGTTTGACTGGCTGGTCGAACGGAGAAGCTGTCCCCGCCCCTGAGGAAAGAAATTCATGGAATATTAACAACTATCACCAGATTCGCGTTCGTCCGTCTGTGTCCGTTTGAGCTGCATCGAATCGATACCCATTTTATGCAAAAATATCAACTTTGAAATTTGACCTAATTTGACCTGACCTTCACCAGAAAATAATCTTTACTGACCCCAGAGTCTGCCTGATCCACATAATCGCATTTGGCATATAAAATGGACCATAAAACATACCTCACATGATATTTTCATGCTGTGACCCTTAGTGACCTGACCTCTGTGACCTGACCTGGTATCAGCGACCTCAAATAGCAAAATATGTGTTTGACGAACATTTCCCCATCGATGATTTCCCATGAAATGCATTTTACTCGATTTTACAACGTACCTATGTATTTCTTGAACTGCCTGTACACTGTGAAAATTCGACATTTGACCTGACCTACATGACGTCATCGGTCAGTGTTACAAAATTTGTTGTTTTGGGTGGGAAACGACATCCAAATGAAAATCATTTAACACTCTCACCTCCAATTTTGAAGAGCAATTTTCCACTCCCAATATTACGAAGAAAAAGCATTAGCGTGGATAATCGTTGTACATCTCATATTTTATCACGCATGGATAAAAATTAATGCTATCGATCTTTTCCCATCTTTCTGGGCCTCACCTTGGCCAGCAATTTTCCACTCTTATCCCCATTTTTGGAAAGCAATTTCCCCTCTGACACCCAAGCCAAAATGCAATTTTGGGACACTGTCATCGGTTTGACCTAGGTCAATGAAATTGGGTCACAAGGTAGTTCCATGTTGGGGCTATCCAACACCGTTTGTCGCTTGTCGCTATGTTGCGTGGTTCTCGAGATCTTAGGGGAGCGGGGCAAATTGCTCCCCCCCCCCCCAGCAGGGCGCGTTGCTCGGCAGACCCCAAAGGGGCGTGGGTCAAGACGTGCTCCAAGCATGTGAATATTTATTGTCTTCGTCTAAGGAATGGGCGAATTTCTTGACATTTTGGTGATCACTGGCACACAACAGTTTAGGTACAAAGTGTGTGCAGAGTGAAGTACTGCACTCATGTTGCGCCAACTATACAAGAAGTCATACAAGGAAGACATAATATGAAGAAGTCAGATAACCAGGTCACAGTTAGTTACCTCACCTCAAAAAACATTTTTCGTAGTTTGACATCTGGCTGGGATAACAGTGAGCAATAAATGACCTCGAATCTCAGCAAAGGCGGCGGAACGGGGAGAGCTCCGGGGCACCATGCCGCCCCCTTGATTTGGGCATTTTAACATTAGCCCTATGGGTGTTGCATGGAAAGAATGGGACCAAAAGTCGGCAGTGCCCCCCCCCCCCTAATTGAGGGTGTTCCGCCGCTACTGAATCTCAAGGAATATTATCTATGGATGGGAAGCCAGTAGCCACAATTTGCATATTTCGAATTTGCGAAAATTTTGACCTAAAGTCACGCCCTTTTTGTCTCAGTCCAGGAGTCGAGTTTGAGAGGACCGTGAAACTCCAGCAAAGCACGGGTGAATGAGCAACAACTTAAAGTGAAAAACCAAGCACTCGCAACTTACCGCCTCCTCTGGCACGTGTGACGCGCCAGGAACGCGTCCATGGCCTCAAATAGCGGCCACCTTGGCCTCGAGCGCTCGGCGTCTTGCCGACTGGATCCACTCGGAACTTTAGCCATACTCGCCTTCTTGGCCCTTCGGTACCTGTCCCGCATCAGGAGCCAATGCCGTTCGACCTCAGGCGCTGAAAACAGTGGATATATTAATGTAACCTGTGAATTCATTGACAGTGATACTGTCAAGTTTTGTGGCCATATCGTTGAATCGCCTGTGCTATTTCAGAGTGCATTGGGAAGCATATCGTAAGTAGTCACACTAAAGTCACATTTTACCACATTACATAAAAGGGCTTGAGCCAGGTAGGCTCCAGGCTCCTACACAGTAATACCTATGAGGTGAAAAGTTCACAGGCAAGTCACACTACCCAAAACAATTCATGAAACAGCAACTATGAACCACTAATCAACAGCAACTAATCAACTAGCTATAACTTGTATTTTCCTGCAATGATGCAACTGTGATCTAGGACTGTATGTAGGTAGTGCGTACACAGAAATATGTATACCATTAGTACATACCACCAATTCCATCTCCGAATAGTCCTGCGAGCTCCATCCATGAGTTCTGTTTTTTATTTTTATCTTTGTACCAACGATGTTTACAATCAAAAAGCCATGTATATTCTTTGATTGCTTCTATGAGTCGCTCCTCAGCTCGTTCAGACCAGAAGTCGGCCATCACCCACAAAATCTGCAAAATGAAGGCGTATGTACATTAACAGATCACAAAACCAGCTCGAGCGCCTGTAGTAGGGACACTCACATCAAATCACTACCAGTAAGTTGTGTCAAATCATACCACCAATGAGCATGTCTGGATGAGGTGACATGAGGTGAGGTGACACTTGAACAATTACTTGACTGACAAGCTAGTGTGACGTTTTACAAGAACTTAATTGAAGTTAACGGTACCTAGCACAGGGAACACTCTGGACAGCTCAAAACTTTTGGTCACTCAGACACCCCGCCCGCCACCACTCAGCCCGACACGAGAAGGGGGAACACAGCGCCCCTGGCGGTCAGCAGACGAATCAGTCTCAGCTGATCAAGTCAAAATCTGGGTCACCGGGACAGCACGCGGCGGCCGACCCACAATACTAGTGATGCAAGTTTGGAGCTCACAGGCCAAGCATTGGGCTCAACTTCGGGCCCGGCCGGCGTTTTTCGTGGCCTGAACTCAGACTGGCCTGGCTCATGCTGGACTCATTCAGACCTAGCCTGTGTTTCAGGTTTTGCAAGCTGGGCAGAATGCCGGGCTCGACAGACATATGCTGAGCCTGGAACGGTACTCCTACGAAATTATTGCAGTGTCAGGTCGGCGCCTGGCTTTGGTTTACGATAAATTATTGTATCTCTATGACAAGCATGGTGAGGTAAGCAAACATTACAATGCTTAGCTGCCATTGGTGGAGCAAACAAAAATTCCAGTTCATTATAAAACCATTAATATTTTGGGAAAATTAAGTTCCAAATGCTATCAAAATAATGTTCCAAGTGCAATCAATGAAAAGTCTCTAGGCTAGCTCCTACCTAGGCGAGGAAAGCAAAAATAAATAGTCATTACATCATTAAATGATTTTATGTAACACCACAATGACATGCCTATGAAAGCAGTAGGCACACTAGTCACTGTTTACAATTTTGGCTAAGGTCACCCTAATGAGCAGGCCATCAATGAACTGCTCAGCATAGGGACTGACACAATAGGCATTGATAGCTAATGAATTGATCCCATTCCAATTCATGTCAGACATGAGACATGACAATGTCTCATGTGCACAATGCACATGAGACATGTGCATTGTGCATTGTACAGGACATAGTTTGACATTTAGATCATTCTAGTTTGATGCTTGGAAAGCTGTACACATAGTGCAAAACAATATCAACAAAAACAATATATTTTCACAGCAATGAAAGACAGATAGAGGTAAAATCTGCCTTTTGCACTCCTGGCTCAAAATTGAATAAAAACCACATAAAATTGTCAAAAACCATATACCTATTAAGCCTGGTGTCCCGGGAAGACGTCAGACTGGGACAACTGAACTAGTACCATTAAAGGTTGTAGGACAGTAGGTTTGCAGGTTTGTACAGTAGGTTGCAGGTTTGTAGGTTGTAGGTTTGTAGGTTGTAGGTTTGTAGGTTGTAGGTAAGGTTAGGTCAGCTTAAGTTAGGCTTGTTTTGGTCTATATATCCGTCATCCAAATCTGGCATCTTCCTGGGACACCATGCTTACTAATGCCAAAAATTGTTCAAACAATCATTCAATGCAAAAAGTCAGGTAGACTAGGTACTACATGCGGAAATAACAAAACCTAACCCAACCTGACCTCACCTTTCCTAATGTCACATACCATCACCTGACAATGTGTGGTTGGGTGATGGGTCATGAGTGCAACTTAAAATGTTTCGTGTAATACGTTTTGCATCAATGTGTGGTCTTACTTTCAACCTTAGAAGAATGTATTCTTTTTATTCATGTTTTGATTTTGTGAATTTCTTCAGTTTTTGAGGAGTGCAAAAGGCAGAAATGACCTAGATAGATAATAAACAAATTCCATGAATTAGGATGCAGCTGCAGTGCAACATGCTGGACGACAGATCTAGAAAAGAGGCCTCTTTCAGCACAGTAATAAAAAATCAGCTGTTATTTTCATTATTCAACCTTGCAATTGGTGTAAAAAAAATCAGCAACATTTTTGTGCTGTTGACACACGTTTTAGTAATTCATTTAGACAGAGACGTCTTGGGTATGGAATGAATAAGTGGGCCCATCAATGTCATGGAAAATATGCTACCTATCAAGTTTCATCAAATTTTATTGGCACATGAATATGGAAATGGTTCAAAACTTAGTAATGAGGCAACGTATCACATAGGTAGTAGGTGTCTAACTAATGGGACTGTTTGGAGTTCATTTCAATAAATAATGTTTAGTGACAAGCAATGATGTGTTATATTTTAGATCATGTTAGCCTGGAAATAAGAGAAATTGCCTGCATTCATAAATCCACTACTTTTTTAATTGAACTTTCCACTTTTCTTTGACACCAAAAATATCGCATATTTTTCAACATCAGTGTCAACGTCAACATCTTTATCAACATCAAATGTAGTTATACAACTTATAAGAATGAAATGGAAGTGGACAATTAGCATCATCTAAAGCACAGACCAGCCAAATAGTTATATTAAATATGTCAGCACAAACCTTCCACAACGCAGCAGCAAGAAGAGCAGCAGCACAGCAATTTCCCCACACGATGCACGATACGATCAAGGCAAAAGATAAACTCAATCCATCTTTCGACGGAACGCACTACGACGCACGATCCGCCGCTTCCGAACGTGGCGCACAATCATGTTTTTTCCCGGTTCTCACTGCAAACACACGATTACCATCGCGGCGATCGGGAAACGGGCGTGCCGATCCCCATCCCATCACCATACGATCACGATACGATCACCATACGATCCGCCAAACGATCGAAAAACGGCAGTGAGAACCGGGCTTAACTATCATGGACGGAACCGCTTACTCAATTATGCTCGGCAACAGTGAAAAACTAAGTTTCACCCAAATTCGTTGACACTTGTCCCATTGCACGGACATTTGGGTGCCTGCTGCCACCAGTGACGTCATCATAGTATGTTCATTTTTAAGAAACAATTTCCAGCTACTTACTGTGCACAATTTGAAATCGGTCATTTTTCCGGTAAGAAATTCTTGGCCAGACACTGAAGCTGCCAAAACACACGTGAGAGCTTCGATATTGCACTTTGAGCCAGCGTCCTTTTGAAAAAAAAAAAACGAACTATATACTCTGTTCCGTTTCAAGTTTGCAGCCGAAGTGCCCTGCTGAAAACAGTGCGTGATTTCTGTGTATACAGCTGTTACATTTTAAGACGCAAATTCTTGAGCGGAGGAGCGATCTGCCGAAGAAACTCCAACTGCAAGCTTGATATGGAACAGACTATAGTGGGGAAGCAAAACGTACCAATTAAATGAGAAAGTCAATTATTTCACCTCTGCAAAAAACGTGTAATAACAGCACTGCTAAATTAACCATGACAAAATTAACATCATCAGATGCCACCAGACACAAGTATGTTTTCCAGCATACAGTGAGTTAAAATTAATGCATGTTTATGTCTTGCACATTAGCTTTCTTTGTAAGATAATTGTCCTCATGGTATTGGAATTTAATTTGCTAGCACTGATAAGTTGCCATTTAACATTGGTTGACTGATGTGTTGCCCCATGTCCCATTTGTTAGGACATCATGCATTTGGGAGAAATGTGTCATGATTGCCATTTTTTATTCATCCAATGTCATTTAGTAAATCAAGTTTAAGTTCAGAAGGTTTATCGAAAAGGTTTTCAAATCTTTTATGGCAATAGTTGATTTTCATAATACCGACCAAAATCCCAAATGCTTTTGGTATATACTACCGAATACCGAATCGGTATTTGTTCGGTATTGGCACGGAATATATAGTCTACGACTGTCGTAGGCTATATTATGTTCCGTGGTATTGGTATACCGAAATTTTGTTAACCGATTGACACAACTATAGTTCGTTTTTCTTAAGTTCGACCCTCACTGAAATCGTCTCTTTAAACACAACACGAGAATTGCTAGCTGAATTACTGAGAAAACTGGCTGGCGCACATTGATTTCACAGACGATTAATTTTACTCAAAATTATTTCTTCCTGGCTCTTATTTTCCAGACTCCTAGCTCGTAGCTAGCTAGACTCCAGACAGCCCAACCCCACAGGGATAGACGTCTTGTCAGAAATTATAACTGAACTGATCAATAGATCGCACGGCGTTTAACAGAACGTTATATCATCGGTGTTTAAAACTTATTTGGAAAATATTATTGTTTAATTGTCGGAACGCCTCTTGGATGTAGGGCATTGTTTCAACTTGAATATTTGTGTGTTGGTGACCTTAAGCCCTAGTGTAAAGACAAAAGAAACCAGACTGACCTCCAGATGATGTGAAGACGATGCTGTAGTCGACGATGATGAGGAGAAGACGACGAAGAGAGGACGACGAAGAGAAGTGTGCACAAATTTTCGGCCCTAGGCCATCCTCAGGTGATGAGAGGGGAGGTAGAGGTAAGGAGGGGGAGGAAGACCACCTCCGACGGTCGCCGCGGCGAGGTACCAACTGACGCCAGACGGAGGTTTGAAATGACACCAGTTGGCGCGCGAGGTGACCTGCAGCGCCACCTGTCTCGGTAGGCCATCTGTCGGTCACCGTTCGGACTGGCAACTCCTTCAGCCGCCGGTTATAATATCGGCCATGATGTGGTTTGGGTGTTCAGCGATGGTCTGCGGTCTCGAATAAATAGCGATTCTGCGATTTTCCTGTTTGGGCCGTCTTTGCATACCGTCAAGATGTTGATGCGGAAGCAGTTGGTGATGTCTGTTTGTTCGTTTGGGTGGCAGGTAGTCATGTGGTCGCCGAGGGGAGTGTCCGGGTTTCTGTGCTTCATCTCACTGCCATTCATCGATGACTCGCTCGCTCACAAAATCCAGGGCACAGTCCGGGCGTCAGGGCTGGCATTCCAAGTGGCGTGGAAAAACGACAATAGCCTCAAAAAGAGCCTAGTGCGCTCCGCTCTGGAACCGCCCCCCTGCCCTGGAGGGGGTCGCAAATGCGCGACTTGTATGAGCGGTCTGGGTGGCAGGTGTCACACAAAAAATGTGGTCTATGAGATAGCCTGTGAGCTGTGTGAAAAAGTAAAGACGCGGAATATTTATATCGGAGAGACAAGACGAAGCGTGCGACTGAGATTTAACGAGCACCTCCGAGACGCGCGGCACAGAAACCCGGACACTCCCCTCGGCGACCACATGACTACCTGCCACCCAAACGAACAAACAGACATCACCAACTGCTTCCGCATCAACATCTTGACGGTATGCAAAGACGGCCCAAACAGGAAAATCGCAGAATCGCTATTTATTCGAGACCGCAGACCATCGCTGAACACCCAAACCACATCATGGCCGATATTATAACCGGCGGCTGAAGGAGTTGCCAGTCCGAACGGTGACCGACAGATGGCCTACCGAGACAGGTGGCGCTGCAGGTCACCTCGCGCGCCAACTGGTGTCATTTCAAACCTCCGTCTGGCGTCAGTTGGTACCTCGCCGCGGCGACCGTCGGAGGTGGTCTTCCTCCCCCTCCTTACCTCTACCTCCCCTCTCATCACCTGAGGATGGCCTAGGGCCGAAAATTTGTGCACACTTCTCTTCGTCGTCCTCTCTTCGTCGTCTTCTCCTCATCATCGTCGACTACAGCATCGTCTTCACATCATCTGGAGGTCAGTCTGGTTTCTTTTGTCTTTACACTAGGGCTTAAGGTCACCAACACACAAATATTTGGAAAATATTATTCACGTTCACAGTACAATGTGCGTTAGTGAGATTTGGACGTGGCACGCATGAGGAATGACACGTTCCGTTCCTTAAGGTCGTCACATGGCCAACACTTTAAAACAAAAGAAAAAAACTGTCCGTGACACATAGCAATGACAAGGCAGCATATCGGTTCTCGAACCTGTCCGCATCATCGCTATGATGTCAGCGGCTATAGTCTGTTCCATATCAAGCTTGCGGTCGGAATTTCTTCGGCAGATCGCTCCTCCGCTCAAGAATTTGCGCTTAAAATGTATGAACTGTATATACAGAAATCACGCACTGCTTTCAGCAAGGTATTTCGGCTGCAAGCTTGAAACGGAACAGAGTTATAGTCCACTAGCGTTTTCAGCTTTGCGATGCGCGCGAGAACTCTGATTCAGATTCAGATTCAGATTCAGATTTATTCAAAAGAAGTCCACTCACCATGGCTTTTCACTCTTTCACGTCAGTTACAAGTACAAAAAGGACGAATTTAGGCCACATTCACGTTCCACACGCATACCACTCATACATCAACTCACTCCGATCATCACTGAGGATCGACAGATCCGACGACCGCTCTGACAGCTCTACGGAACCCGGGCTAACAGGGATCTGCCCCTCTGTTAACTCTGTTACCGATCACGAGGTTCCCTGTCTTCTTCTGGAAGATGTACTCCGTTACGAATGCGAGGGCATTCTTGGCTGTTTGAGAGGGTGCCTTCTGATTGAAAACAGGAAATGCTGCAGCCCACAGCAGGAGAGCATCAGCTTTTGACAGAGTGACATCGGCCACCCGTTGTCCTTCCACGATAAGGGTGAGCATTCCGTCCCGGTCCGCCTCTTCAAAATGAGGAGTGGTTTTGTTGTCTTTGGAGCCGATGATCTCCTCGGGATTCACCAGGAGGAACTCCAGCAAGGAGTCGACCTTGTCATCATCTGAAATAAACGGTACTTATTTCTCATTCCCAGCTACAATTGTTTGCTTAATAGGGTTTCAGGGAATAGCAAAAGCTGTCGTCATTAGTTCAGACTACAGATGATGTTTACATCAGGGTTTCGGAGTCGGAGTTGCCCGGAGTCGCGGCAACGAGCTAGATGTCGGGAGTCGGAGCCTGAGCCTCACCTTGACATTCGGTGAGCATCTGCACGGCGGTGAGGTAGTCGGATAGACGCTTCTTGAATTCCGGGAGCTGGGGTCCGTTCTTTCCGCCTCATTCTATCCAGCTCTGACCAGATCTGCCAGCATCGTATGTGTGTGTGTGAGAGAGAGGAGAGAGAGAGAGAGAGAGAGAGAGAGAGAGAGAGAGAGAGAGAGAGAGAGAGAGAGAGAGAGAGAGAGAGAGAGAGAGAGAGAGAGAGATTAGTTGCGACTTGCGTGAATTGACGTAGTCGGGTGCTGATGCAAACTGTTCCGCCGAAACACGTTTAAAGGGACCCTCCCACCTTCAAAAAAGCTAATGAATTGGCATAAAAGTGATGTCCTTTGGTTCGGAAATATAAAGAATGAATAGCTACCAAATTCACCGACAAAAACCGAATTTCCGTCCTGTCGTGAGGTGGACTTGAGAGTGAGCAGGCTGTACAGTGGCTGCAGGTGGTCAGCTGCTGGACGCAGGAAGCGATGGTAGAAAGTCACCATTCCGATGAACTTTCTCAGCTGGCGCTCCGTTTGTGGGGTTGGGAAGTCAGTGATGGCTTTCACTTTGCTGGGGAGAGGCGAGATGCCTGCCGACGAGACATGATGGCCGAGGAAGTCCAGCTCGGCCACCCCCAGCTGACTCTTCGCCTTGTGCTCCTTTATTCCGTGCTGGGAGAGGCGCTTGAAGACAGCATGGAGACGCTCTCTGTGCTGGGTGGCTGACTCGCTGGCCACCAAGATATCGTCTACGTACACGAAACAGCCAGGCAGGTCTCGGAGCACTTCATCCATCAGGCGCTGGCACGTCTGGGCAGCGTTGCGGAGGCCGAAGGGCATCATCTGTGCTTCGAAGAGGCCAAATGGAGTGGTTAGAGCGGTTTTGGGAATGTCGGAAGGCTCGACGGGATTCTGATGGAAGGCGCGCTGGAGATCAAGCTTGGAGAAGATGGTAGTGCCAT